CAATGGTCAGTAGGGACCCAACATTCAGATTCAGAGGCCTTATCTGGCTTGGCAGGCCAGCACCACACACTCTCTTCTGTGGCCACCCCACACCCACACCCATCTGCTCAGGGGATACTGAGGTGTGTGGACGTGAGCTCTGCTTGGGCAGTCATGGTCTCCAAGCCCCAGTAGCTCCTGAATGGAGCTGCATGGAGTCAGTTTCCAAGGTGCATGACCAGTTCTAAGAGTTGAGGCATTCAGGAAGTCCAGAGCTTATCCAGTACCCCAGGCCAGATGTGATTTACCAGCGTGGGGTCACTCTGACTGCCAGCAGTGTTGCCTAGTAACACAGCTGAGGATGCAAGTTTTAGCCAGTTTCCAGGGAGACAGAAGCAAAGAATTAACCCAAAGTCAAACTTGTCTGCAGAGGGGGAAGGAGTGAGCCCTTGCTGCCCTGGCTGGCTCTCCCCAAGGTTTCCTTCTGCTCCACGCAGCCACCGTGGGTCTGGTGGGTGTTTGCAGTAAACCTCTTGGCTGGTGGAGTTACTCGTGTGGAACACGGCTCTCCCTGCCATTCCAACACACACACACAGTCCTTTGTGGAAAAGACTGAGCGCAGCCATCGCTGGCCTTCTCTACCTAGTGCTTCACCTGAGGGTGTCCAGGGCAGTGTGTCAAAATGGGCCGCACCTGTCAGCTGGGTCAGAGAAGGAGACACTTGGGTTGTGAGAGGAGAGAGCGCTGTTGCTAAAGAGAGAGCCTTCTGGATGAAGGGTTTGGGGGCCAAGGATGTCCTGGGTTGCTCTGTTTGCTTTGTGAGCTCTGTTTCTTTGGGTGTAACTTCTTCCATGTGTTAATTCTGTTTTTGATTCACATCATTCATTTTCCTCAAACCATTGGCCACCGGTGACTGGTTGTGTGGCTGAGCTTGTAGGTGAGACTGCCCAGCAGGCATTCTGCCACAATCTATGGGTAATATCATGCTCAGAGCAGGGGCAAGAGCTGTTACTCCCTGGCTAGACACTCTGGCTTGTTTTTGGTGAGACTGCATGAAGCAGAGCTAATGATCTGCCTAGTCTTCAGAGTTCCTCCCAGGCATTACCAGCTTCCTAAAGGCATGAACCCCTCCTTTTTAACCTATTAGGTTTTTTTTGACACTGTGTGGCAACCACTTATTGAGATGATCTATGGTCCAGACCATCTGGGAATCACTGCTGTTCCCAGCAGCGGTTATGACAGAGGGGAAGAAAATCTTGTCTGTGTTTCAGGATGATTCGATTTGAAAACCACTGGCCAGGCATGAGACTTCAAGCCTGCAATCCCAATTACTTGGGAGGTGGATTGGAAGGGTCGCCGTTGGAGGCTTGCTCAGGCAAGAAAAAAAAAACCAGACCTCAGCTCAACCTATAAGTAGAGTGGAGTGGTACACACCTGGGTTTCTAGCTGCTCAGGAAGCCAGATATATGACTATCTAATTTGGTTCCAGGCAAAGAAAGACAGGAGGCCCAAGGATAATGTAAGTAAATAAATAAATAGAAACAGGAGGCCCTATCAAATAAATAAATAAGCAAATACCCAGAACCAAAAAAAGGCTGTGGTATGGCTTAAGTGGTTGAACACTTGCAAAACAAATACAAGGAATTAAAAAAAAGTATCACTGAAAGTAAATAAGTAAATATATAACCAATCCACAAACCCATCAGTAGCCTACCATCAAGATTAATGGGGTAGGCTACAGACGGTTTTGATTCACATGCTAACTGCTAACACCCAGTTAACTGCATTAGGGATCAGGAAGAAGTAGCTACTATTCTAGAGATGACCACACCCTGGCCTCTGCAGGGATATTTTTAGACTAAAACAGAAAAAGAAAACGTTGCCTTCTATCACCTGCCATTTTTACTGGGGGGGAAGGGGCTCCTTCTTCACCAGGCCAGGCATGGCCCAGGAGAGCTAAGCTATGATTTTGGATTCATTGCTATGCTAGTCTTGTGAGTGTGGGCTTTTCCCCTTCTACAGGTGACAAGGAGAGGTACAGAGGTGACAGGAAGTTGTTTTAGTTCTCAGAGTTGTGAGAAGCCAAGTTGGGATTCACTTTTGAGGTTTACTTGACTCCCTAAACCGAAGACAAAAAGTGAACAGAAATAAAAAAAATAACATTAACTTCTACTTTGTATTTTGAAAACTGAGGAATAGAAGGTGGGGAATAGAAGGATGGAGATGAATGGCTCTGACCATCCCGAGCCCTGTTCACTTTACGCTCCTTGATGGCTCATGCCTCTTTCAAATGTGTTCTAGTCAGGCACTAGTGGCTCACGCCTGTAATCCTAGTTACTCAAGAGGCTGAGATCTGAGGATGGCGGTTCAAAGTCAGGCCAGGCAGGTATATCTGTGAGACTCTTAGTCACCAATTAACCAACAAGACCCCAAAAGTGGAGGTGTGGCTCAAGTGGTAGAACTCCAATCTTGAGCAAAAAATGTCAAGTGAGAGAGAGCACGAGGTCCTGAGTTCAAGCTCCAGTACTGGCACAAAGCAAAATAAATAAACAAATGAAATGCCAGAAACCCTGGAATCCTTAGAGCATCCTTTCACACTTGTGGCTGCTCCAGCTACACTGTGAATCCAAGGCTAGCTCCTGGAAGGGAAAATGGCCAAGAGAAACTCAAGTATATGGAAACCATGCAGCCATGTGGATAAGGTTCAGTGTGGGGCAGAGAGGAGGGAGCAGAGGAAGAGGAGGAGGTGCTAGCTGTGGCCACAGCCTGGAAGGAACAGAAAAAGGAGGGAGGTTCCAGATGTGGTGGGCACCGGTGGCTCACGCTTGTAATCCTAGCTACTCAGGAGGCTGAGATCTGAGGATCATGGTTCAAAGCCAGCCCCAGCAGGGAAAGTCCCTAAGACTCTTATATCTCCAGTTAACCAGCAAAAAGCCAGAAGGGGGGGTCATGGCTGAAGTAGTGGAGCAGAAAAGTCAAGCAAAAGCATGAAGCCTTGAGTTCAAGCCCCAGTGGCTCCAACACACACACACACACACACACACACACACACACACACACTCAGAGGGAATATTCCAGGTGTGTCACTGAGAAGATCTGTTAGACTCAGGAGGGAGTGAGGATGTCCTAGATTTATTAATGGCTTAGTTGCCATTAGAATTATGTGCTGAGTGCCCAGTGGTTTGGCTGGGATGGTGGCAGACCCTAGCACTGCCCTGATGCGTTAACTCGAGACTGGACTGAGTACCAATACTATCCTGGGGCTCCTGAAGACAAGAAATCACCTCCTCTTGGCTCCTTTCCTCCCTCTTCCCTTAATGGAAAGCTGAGAGGTGACTCTGGAAGGAAGCCTAGCTGTAGGCATGATTGGCAGTCGAACACCTGCGTTAGCAAGCTGCAAATGACTTGTAAGGGAGGCCCAATGTACCATAGCAAAATCAGGCCAACCAGTGAACTTTCCAGAACCTCTTAGAACCAAGTTATAAAAAGGAAACACACACACACACACACACACACAAACACACACACACACATGTTGGTCGTGGGACTTGAACTCTGTGCCTGGGAGCTGTCCCTGAGCTTTTAAGCTCAAGGCTACAGCTCTACCACTTGAGCCACAGGGCCACTTCCAATTTTCTGGTGGTTAATTGAAGATAATAGTCTCACTCAGACTTTTGTGCCCTGGCTGGCTTTGAACTGCGATTCTCAGATCTCAGCCTTGTGAGTAGCTAGGATTACAAGTGTGAGTCACTGGTGCCCAGCTAGGAAAGCCATATTGAGCCATATTGAGTGAGAAGTTATACATCTGTGTCCTTGTGAATAATATGATTACAATATCACAATAAATGCTGGCATTCACTGAGAGCTTCTTTGTGCCCGGCACTGTTCCATTCATTTACGTTTCCTGCTGCCCTGTTCACAGGATTTAAGTCTTTGTAACCCTCTTCTGCAGGTGAAAAATGGAGGCACAGAGAGTTGAAGGCACTTTTCCACGGCCCCTCAGCCTCCAGTCAGAAGAAGCTGGATTTGAGCCCAGACCTCCAGATCACAGATCCTGCTCTCCTAACCTCGCATTCTGCTAAGCAGAGGACTCTGCACAGAACTTAGGAGTGAGTAAGGCCTGGGGAAAGGATCTAAGAAGCAACTGCTCAAGGAAGTGGGGGAAGGGAAACACCAGTGGTGAAGTCTGTTTCTGGACCCCTCCCCCCACTTCTATGGTGGGGTGAAGCAGCCCGCATGGGATCCTGGCACGTCCAGGTGTGCAGAAGGGGAAGTTGAGGCACACAGACATGGAAACACTGGGATGGGGACTTCAGAAATCATGCTCCCCACCAGCCTCTCCCACGAGGGTTCTGGGTCACTGGACAGCAAAGCAGCCTCCCCCAGAGCTGCATCCTGCCCTGGGAGGCCACCTCCTGACCACATCTGCTTCTGCTCTGCTGGGATGCTTTGCCCAAGACGGTGGCGTGCTCCATGCCCCCGTGTGACACCCCAGATACTGTCACACCTCTGGCACTTACAGGCCCACTCCCTTATAGGCCCAGGCCCCCTTCATCCTGAACTGGGGCAGCCGTCTGTGCGTGTGTCTCTGTATGTGTGTCTGTGTGCTGGTCATGGGGCTTGAACCCAGGGACTGGGTACTGTCCCTGAGCGTTTATTTTGCTCCAGGCTAGCACTCTACTACCTGAGCCACAGCTCTACCTCTAGCTTTCGGTGGTTAACTGGAGATAAGAGTCTTGCAGACTTTCCTACCTGGGCTGGCTTCCAACCGTGATCTTCAGATCTCAGCCTCCTGAATAGCTAGGATTACAGGTGTGAGCCACCGGCGCCAGGCTGGACCAGCTATTCTGAAACCTACCTTCAAAGACAGTACCTGTCTCTAAGATGCCCAGCGTTGCCAGCGGCATCCCTTCAGCAAGTTTTGGGGAGTGGCATTTCTTCCTTCTCAGCCCTCACCCAGCACAGAGCAGTGTCACCCACCACCGCCGGGCTGAGCCAGCCAAGGCCCCTGCGTGTCCTACCTTTCCACCTGGAGGTTGACTTTGGATGGCTCCACGTTGGGGTTCTCCCACTCCATCTGGGGGCAGTGCATGAAGTAGCAGAGGGTGTACAGGGCCTCGGGCTCCCAGTACAGCGCCCCCTGCTTGTGGTGCAGGGGAGTGCCGTTGCCGTGGTGTTTGGCATTGAGGGGCTGCAGGTGATGCATGGCCCGGGACACCAGGTCACCTGTGGAGAGAAGCAAGACTTTAGATCTTCTGGGAAGTCAGCGTCACTGTGCTTTCTCTACAACCCACACCTGCATGTTGCGGCCACCAGCACCTCCCTCCTCCTCCTCTTTCCTTCTCCTCCTCACTGGTTCAGGGAGGAACTTCCTGTGGGGGCCGGGCTGCTAGATGCCCTGGCTCCTCCTGGTTAAGAAGGTGTCTCCAACTCTGTAATCATTCATAGCCACATAGTGTGGCTAGGTCCAAGTGCCACTGTTGTGGGGTTTTATCTATTTTTATTTTTATTTTATTTCTTTGTGTGTTCATGTTAGGCTTGAACTCAAAGCCTCACACTCTCACTTAGCTTTTTTTTTTCTCTGCACAAGGCTGGTGCTCTACCACTTGAGCCATACCTCCACTTTTGGCTTCTTGCTGGTTAGTGAAGAATAAGAGTCTCATAAGACTTTTCTGCCCAGGCTGGTTTCAAACCATGATCCTCAGATCTCAGGATCCTGAGTAGTTAGGATTACAGGCATAAGCCACCAGCATCTGGCTTGTTTTATTCAATTTTAAATGGGCTCATCTTTCTAATACAAATACATCTATCTAATCGTAAACATCTATCTAATAACTTCATCTACCTAATAAAAAAGAAGGGAAAGTTATGTCAGTGTCATAAAGGGAAAATCAATATCACTTGCCATAAGTAGCAAAAAAAAAAAATCCCTACAAAAGTAAACCTCATGAAGACAGAACAGCATAATTCACTTCTAGCTGAACTCTGTCCTTCTTTCCCTTTGTCATTCATAGAAGTGGTAGGGAAGAACTGCCGGTTCCTATCATGTGCAGTCCTTCTTAAGCCATTAAGACTGAGATGAATTTAAAAGAATCACTGTGGCACCCGACGTGTGGCTCAAGAGATAGAGTACTTCTCTAACATGCCCAAGGCCCTGGGTTCAATCCCAGTACTAACAATAAAATAACCACAATAAGAGAACCATTCTATCAATGTGATTGCATGCACTGTCCCACTTAAAATCATCCCGTGCACAGTGGACCGTGTCACACACTTGGATGGCCCTTGTCTAAGACATCCACAATGGTTAGTTTTATGGGTCAGTGTGGCTGGGCTGTGGTCCCCTGGTGTGGTCCGACGTTGGTCTAGTCAAGTGAGGTAAAGTCCCTTGCCCTCCATAATGTGGGTGGGCCTCATCCAATCAGCTGCAAGTCTGAGAAGCAAAGACTGAAATTCCCCGAAGAAGGGAGGAATTCTCCCCCAAGCTACAACATCAGCTTATCCTGGCCTGACCCGCTTCCACCCCCCCCCTTAAAATTATTGGACTTGTAACTCTATACACGTTGTTCAAGTAACTTTCTCTCTCTCACCCTCTCCCTACAATCAATTGGCTCTGTTTTCCTAGGGAGCCCCAACATAATATGTGACAAAATGCTAGTTCCTCCCTAACCTCTGTCCCTCATCATCCACCTGACACCAGGCTCTTCAGAGTCCACGGATTCTCCATTCTCCTCCTGAGTCTTTTGAAGGGACAATTCTACCTGCAATCCAAACCCAAGTAAGGGAGGCAAAATGAGAGGCAGGGGTTTCCTCCTCTGCAGTCTCCCCTTCTTGGTTCCTGCTGTCTGTCTGAGGAGCCATGATCGGCGGGACAGCTGTTTGTGGAAATGAGCTCTTTAGCTCTTCCCACTTGGCCTTCCCAAGGTCAAGACTCCAGCAGCCACTGCTTCTGATGGGAGTTGTCAGAAGGAAGGAAACTTCCACGCTGTGCGAGTCCTAAGGCCACATAAACACACACAAGCTCACTGGAGTTCAACACACTGTCTTGACACACCTGGACAGCTGGCGGGGTTGGGGAGGGGTGAGGGGGGAGGGCCCCACAAGCAAATCCCAGCCAGGAATACAGTGGTTAATTTCAGAGATCAACCTGACTGGACTAGAGATGCCCAGATAGCAGCTAAGGCTTTATCTCTGGGTGTGTCTGTGAGGGCAGTTCTTGAAGGGCTTGGTGTTTTAGTCTGTGGACTGAGTAAAGCGGACACCCTCACTCCAATGTGCACCCTGAGGGCCCAGGGACAACACAAAGGCAGTGGAGTTGGAATAAGTCTCTTCTCTTTCCCTCACACCTTATGCCATGTTAGGCCACAACAACAGCGCACCATCTTGGCAGCCGACAGCAGCTCTGGTAACCGTGCACCCATGGGGACCTTGATCTTAAGACTTCCCAGCTTCCACAACGAGGAGACAAATATCTGTTCTCCAACAAGTTACCCAGTCTCAAGTGTTTTGTTACAACAGCATACAAGGACCAAGAGGCTGCTTCCTCAAACCTCAGTGCGTCTAACCACACCTAGCTGGAGCACGCCGCCTCTTCTCATCCCAGCTCTCACAGCTGGAAAACACAGCCAAGAACAAAAGAAGTGCTAGGGAAGGGAATTCTTGAGGCAGCTGGGTGGGAAGACCCCCAGGAAGACCTATAAAAAGAAAACTGCAAACAGGACCGCTCTTCCAGGCAGGGGATATCTGACAATATTCAGAGGCATCTCCGCTTGTCCAGTCCAGGGAACTTTCTTCCATCAATGGGTTGAGGTCAAGGATGATAGTCCCTGTAGTAAGCAATGAGATCCACAGTACTGAATTTGGGAATGGAAGCCCCAGGGTTACTAAGGACAGACTCCAGACCTAGGCCTGTCTGATGCTTGTATCTTTCATTCCACAGTGACCCAAGTCCCTCCCTTCAAAGGGAGCTCAGTGCAGCCAGCTAGCTCTTCACCCATCTTTGGAGCAATTCTGCATTCTGAAGCAAAAGGCATTATTAATGCTCCCAAGGCCTGAGTCAGTCAGCGTTTTCGGGAATCTGTACCAATGTTAGGATTCAAAATACACCCAGATCTTCTTGCCTAAGGATTTGTACACCCAAGTCTTAATTTGTTGGTCAAATTTTGGAACTCTTCCCAAAGTAAAAATAGTCCAGTTAAAAGAAAATTCAGGACAGCCAGCCACCAAGCTAATGTAACAAGAATAAGCAGCCATTTAAAGTGTTTGAATACAACTGGGATTTCGTGAGGAAGAAGATTGGTGTTAGCACGGTAAGTTGGAAGACAGTGAAATTCAAAATCGCTCCCTGTGTGATCAGGATTAAGTCATTAAAAGTGATGTACCAAGTAAATACCAGGGGAGGGGACATAAAGGCCTCCCCCCAGAGACTTGTCTGCTTTGTGGGATTCTGGGTAATATTTCCTGTCCAACTTCGTGATAAAACCCAAGCATTGAATTCTGGTATATACTGTTTTTATAATCAGCATAACAAATTTATAGGCCTGGGGGGGGGGAGTGGGAGGAGGAAGGTGGGCTAGGTGGTCACTTTGCTTGTCCACCTAGGCTCACCTTTCTATCTGCTCCTCTCTCTGTCTCTGTCTCTCTGTCTATCTCTGTCTGTTTCTCTCTGTCTCTGTCTCTCTCTCTAAGGGTCCCGATAAATGGCTCAAAAGAAGAAAAAGCAAAAGGGAGCCAGGCAGAAAGTTTTTTTTGGGGGGGGTTCGGTCGTGGGGCCTGAACTCTGGGCCTGCGCGCTGTCCCTCAGCTCTTCAGCTCAAGGCTAGCACTCTACCACTTGAGCCACAGCGCCACTTCCGGCTTTTTTCTTTTTGCTTATGTGGTGCTGAGGAATCGAACCCAGGGCCTCATGCATGCAAGGCAAGCACTCTACCACTGAGCCACCTTCCCAGCCCACAGGCAGACAGTTTGAGGCTCTTATCGCAACAACAACAACAACAACAAAAAAAATTTAGCATCTTGGCACATGCTTGTAATCCTGGCTGGGAGGGAAGTGTAAAGAGGGTGATTGTACGTCCATGTCTGGGGGAGCAGAAATGTGAGGCTCTATTTGAAAAAAGTAACTGCAAAGAAAAGTGGATGGGGGGGCTGGGAAGGTGGCTCAGTGGTAGAGCGCTTGTCTTGCATGCCTGAGGCCCTGGGTTCGATTCCTCAGCACCACATAAGCAAAAAGCCAGAAGTGGCGCTGTGGCTCAAGTGGTAGAATGCTAGCCTTGAGTTGAAGAGCTGAGGGACAAAAAAAAAAAAAGAAAAGAAAAGTGGATGGGAGAGTGGCTGGAGCGGTAGAGCACGTGCCGACCAAGCCCAGGCCCTTGATTCACACTGCAGTACCATTAAAGACAATGGAGGTGGGAGAGCGGAGGGCAGAAATGGTGTGGGTGCCTTGGCCCTCTGTCCAGTTAGCCATCTGCTCATGTCCTAGGCAGCCATTCAGCTCCCCCTGCTCGTCCAGGCTCCCAGCTTTTTGCTGGCTTCTCACCTTGGCTTGTCCTTCCCCACCTCCTCCTGACTACTGAGGACTTCGGTCCTCTGTCACCTCTTCCATGAAGTCTTCTAGATGCCTCTGGTCAGAGTCAAGCTCCCCACCCCCATCCCCTTCCCCTGTGTACCTGGGACTCCTGCTTATATTTGTAGCTTTCCACAGTTAGGTGTCCTCCCTTCCCCTCTGGGATTCAAAGTCAGTGAGTGCACGATGTGTGCTGCCCTCCTCTGGGGGTGGGGGTGGGGTGGGGGGAGGGGGCAGTGTCTGGTGGGGAATGTTCTTCTCTGACTCTGACCTACCACAACTAGCTATGTGATCCTGGGGGAGGGCAGTCCATCTCTCTGTAAGTGGGGGGTGATAACAGATTTGCTGGGTGGATTACTTGAAAAGCACACAAGAAGTACCTAGCTCTGCCTTCCAGCACAGAACTACTTATATCATAACCATCACCAAGTTCAGCACACTGCTACATTATTTCCAGCAGCTGTATCATCCCTCTCACCATCATCATCATCATCATCATCATCACCACCACCATCAATATCATCTTAGACATTACCATTATTCTCATCATCATAACCATCATCGTCATCACCACTACCATCCACCGCCATCATTATGACCACATGTCCGTCTCTGTTTCAAACGCTGAGCTCTCAAGTGCTGCCTGCTGCCTCCTCCACCCGGGTTACAAGTTCCATGAATCTACTCCAAGCTTTGGCGGCTGGAATATGGCTCCAGGAGACTTCCTGGGGTCCAGTCCTCTGACAGCTGAGTTTCTCAGATGTCGACCCCTTGGGAATCACTGTCACCTTGCCCCTCTGGTCTATGCACAGCTGGTGCAATTTATTTGCTTAATATTTCTCTTTAAATTGGCTCATTCAGTCACACACATATACCCATTAAAAGGGAAACTTCCTATCAGCGCCATAAATGGAAAACGAATGTTTTTCTCCTACTCATAAAATATGCATAGCAATTAAAATTACAAAGTGTTGTGGCACATCGTCTAGGATCATACCCTGGACTACTCTGGCGGGGGGTGCTGCTCCCAGCTGCCCAGCTCAGGCTCTTCTGCACAGCCCTGAGGAGCAGGCCCTCCCTCCTGCATGCCACGCTGAGCACTGTGGACAAAGGCTCCTTGCACCCAAACCCATGCTGAAAAGTCAGCGTCTGAGTCCTTGGAAACAGGAGAGGAGAGAGGCCGGGTTTGCATAGATGGCTGGCAGCTTTGGCCCCGGATCCCGGATTCTACTCCAGCTCTTCAGCTCGCCAGTGTGCTTGACCTTGGGCACACTCCTTAGCCAACTTTTACCTCCATCCCTGCCTCAGACAGTGGGCGGATTCCCATTAAAGGTGATCACAAACTGGGTGATGGTGGCTCACACCTGTAATCCTTGTCACTCAGGAGGCTGAGATCTGAGGATCATGGCTGAAAGCCAGCACAGGCAAGAAAATCCACGAGACTCTTATCTCCAATTAACTGCCAAAAAGCCAGCCGTGGAGGTATAGCTCAAGTGGCAGAGTGCCAGGTCTGAGTGAAAAGGCTAAGGGGCAGCTGCTCAGACTCGAGTTCAAGCTCTGGTAATGACAAAAAAAAAGAAAAGGTTTTTCACAGTGACTGGCTGTCAGAGGGGCTATGACCTGTTTGAAGAACAGCTTGAGAGACAAACCCTCTCCACTTCTCTGTTGGGAGAAGTGGCATCCACTACCCGCCTGGGCAGAGTAACTTGGGAACATGAAGGAGAGTTTTCTAGACACAGAGAGCGCCAGTCTGTGCGGATCCAGGCTTCACAACAAGCCAGCCTCAATTACAATCAGACCTGGAGCGGGGGAGGGCGAGGGAAAGGGGCGGTTAAGGTCTTATTCCTTGTAGTTGACACCCTCAGAACTTACAGTCCGCAGGACTGACTTTGCAAATGAATGTGCAAAACTCGGTGGCAATTAGCGACCCTCATTTGTATGCCTACAATTCACCTGTGAAAGTCAACCCCCAGGGGTGATGGTGTTTAATTGCTAGAGCAAATTCTCCTGAAAAAGAGTCTACGTAGCCAGTCTCCCCTGCAGGCTGCCTGCTTAGATAGGCAGCATGTTTGTGGAGAGAAATCCTTCCTACTAAGAAAGTACCAGAATTAGGCAGGGCCAATTCCTTGAGTAATGGGCCAGGAGGGGCCTGGGAATTACCCCAGGATAGAGCTTTGAACCTGGCCCCTTCCTGGCCAGGCTATGGAGCCGTGTTCAACTGTGTGTGCTCAGAGTATAGGTTTCCAGGAGGGTCACAGGTGCCCCCGCGCTGTGGCATTTCGCCCTGCAGTTTCCCTGGGGAGTATAATCAATGCCAATGTACCTCGTGGGGTCATGCTAAGCCTTGTGATGTCATGCAGTAATAAGAGCACAGAACGACCATTCCACACTTCAGAGGAAAAGCCTCTAGGTAACTGCTTTGTTAAATTGATTTTTATTTTTTCAGTTTTTATTGATATTATAAAAGTGATATACAGAGGGTTTACTGTTTCTTAAGTCAGGTAAGGAGTACATTTCTTTTTGGACAATGTCATCCTTTCCTTCCTTCTCTCTCAGTTCTTCCTTTCTGTCATAACTTTTTTTCTTTTCTTCTTCTTTTTGGGGGGTGTCAGTTGTGGGGTTTGAACTCAGGGCCTGGGTGCTATCCCTGAGCTTTTTTGCTGAAGGCTAGTGCTCTACTACATTGAGCCACAGTTCAACACCACCCAGTTTTCAGGTGGTTAATTAGAGGTAAGAGTCTCACAGATTTTCCTGCCCTGGCTGGCTTTGAACCACCATCCTCAGATCTCAGCCTCCCAAATGGAATTACAGGCATAGGCCACCAGCGCCTGGCCATACCAGCCTTCAATAGGACCACAGTTTCTTTTCTAGGGCTGTGTGCGTAATGCTTTGATAAATGTTATTCTGAGGCAGGGGCCACGGGGCTCCTACACTGCCAAAGGGGCTCACGCCATCCAAAAGTTCCAGAACATTCTTCTAATCATTCCTCTGAGTCTCTTTCTCTCTCTCCACATGAGAACACAGTGAGAAAACAACAACTGAGGAAGAAAAAGTCCTCACCAGAGACCAAACCATCCCATGCCCAGAACTGTGAGAAACAAAATGTCTGTCTTTTTGTGTGTGTTGGTCATGTGGCTTGAACTCAGGGCCTGGATGCTGCTGAACTCTTTTGCTCAAGGTGAGTGCTTTACCATTTTGCCCTCACAGCACTGGATGGCGAGCAGACTCCACCCTCCTCGAAGCAAGGTCTCCGCCCAGTACCTGCGTTACCTAGGCAACTGGCACACCTGGAAGAGGTCACATCTGCATCCGCTGAGGTCACATCTGAATTTGATGTGGCCACACCTTTCTCTGCCCATACCCTAGACAAGGCCTAGCCCAGGCCCAGATGCCCCTTTTTCCCAGCTCTTTTCTAGCTGTTTTTCCTTCTCTCTCTTTCCCGGCTCTCTCTCTTTCCCAGCTCTTTCCCATCACCTTCCCAGCTTTTTCCCAGCTCTCTCTCTTTCCCAGCTCTCTGTCTTTCCCAGGTCTTTTGTAGGCTTTCTTTACCAGCCGCGTGGAGTGCCAAGCTGGCCTGGTCCCAGCAGGTCTACTGAATAAACCTACCCCTTACCTGAATACCACGTGCGTGGTGTGGCTCTTACTCAGCCACCTCTTTTTAAAAACCTAACAAGGACCACTTCTGGTTTTCTGGTGGTTAATTGGAGATAAGAGCCTCACAGACTTTCCAATCCAGACTGGCTTGATCCTCAGATCTCAGCCTCCTGAGTAGTGAGGATTACAGGTGTGAGCCACCAGAGCCCAGCTACTGTTTACTGTTTATCACACCCTGAGTGGACAAATACAAGAGTGCTCAGGGAATTATCCTTTTACACAAGTTTGAGAAAAAGCAACACTGGAATGAACGTTGAAGGTCATGACCGAGCAAGCTATATCTGAGGGAAGGGAGTGATCAGGCAGAGAGGACAGTGAGTGCAAAGGTCCTGAGGTTATGACTGCTGTGTTCGAAGAGCAAGGCACCACAGGAAAAGGACAAAAACATGGAGGGGTAGGGAGAACCTAGAAGCAATTCTGAAGAGTTTGTTTTTTCCTGTGGGCCAGAGGGGAAGGCAGCAGAGATTCTAAACAGAGGGGTGAGGTGATGGGACACACGCTTGAAATGGATCCCACGTGGACATCAACAGGGAGCAGCACTCTGACGCTGCCTGTGTGCCCAGAACTGTGTCAGGTCCTTCATGGACCCTCGTCCATTGAATCCCGACAACTCCACTTCCTCTGTGTTGGGTACAGTTTCCTTCTCTATCTTACAAAGAAGAACAGATGAAGAACTTGACCTCACTGTGTGGCCTGGGGAAGTCTGCTAGATGTGCCTCGCTCCTGATCACTGGCCTCCCATCCTGCGGACCCTAGCACGGGGCGATGTCCACAGCACACGCTCCATCCAAGGCTCACCTGCCTGGGTACAACACACTGCCCTGTGAGAGGTCAGTGCTGGCATGGCGTGGTATGAGAGACAGAGCGCCACTGTGGGCACAGATCAGACCCGGCTGGGAAGGACTTACTCAGCTCCGCGATGCTGCCCACCCGGGTGGCCAGCAGGGACTGCTCGATGGTCCTCAGCTCGGACTGGCTGAACATGGGCAGCTCTCCGGGCTTGCTGGGTCGCTGTGGGTCCCGGTGGAGGTTCAAGCTGTCTGGCAGGCACAGCACTCCTGCAGCGAGAAGAAAGGGGGCAGAGAGAGAAAGGCAGGTGAGACATCAGCTCTCCAATGGTGGGGGCTGCTAAGCTGGGCGGGGGTGGGCGGGGGTGGGGGGGACCCCCCCTCGCGGGACACCCCCCCACCGCCTGTATTCTTTGAGGCATGGCTGCCTGGAATTCCTTCGAAGATCTTCCTAGACACGGGATTTGCACAAACATGTGGGCACACATCTTTTTTCTCAGGGGGATGTACAATGCTCAAAGACACAGAACCCTCTCCTCCCCCCCCCCCTACAGTGGGCCCTGCCCCTCCCCCTCCCCCAGTGCCCAGCACTGGCTTCAGAGGGCTCGTTCTATTGGTTCAACTGATGTCAAACCAATGTGTAGCTAGGATGGGATCTGTGAGGTTTGTGCTGTAGAGGTTTTTAATGCTTTTTCATTTTAAAAATTCACCTGGTGCCGGGGGCGGGGGGGCTCACACCTGGAATTGTAGCTGCTCAGGAGGGTGAGATCTGAGGATCACGGTTCAAAGCCAGCCCAGGCAGGAAAGTCCATGAGATTATTATCTCCAATAAAGAACCACCAGAAAACTGGAATAGGAGCTATTGCTCAAAGTGGAAAGCCCTAGGCTTTAGTGGAAAAAGCTTAGGTACAGTGCCCAGGCCCCAAGTTCAAGCTCCATGACCAACAAAAAAATTATGGTTATTATTACTACTATTTTTGAACTCAAGGCTTGGGCACTACCCATTAGCTTTCTCATTCCAGACTAGCACTCTTACTGTGTGAGCCACATATCCACCTTGTAGAGCTTTAATTTTTTTTAAAAAAAATTAGTATATATTAGCTATACAAGGGGGGGGGTTATGGTGACATTTCCACAGACACACAGATGCATGCATTGTACCCATCAACCTTACTCCTTCCCATTACTGCCCTCAGTCTCTGTCTCTCCTTTTTCTTTTCTTTTCTTTTTCTTTTTGGTCATGGGGCTTGAACTCTGGGCCTGGATGCTGTCCCTCAACTCTTCAGCTCAATGAGAATGCTCTACCACTAGCCACAGCACCACTTCTGGTTTTCTGGTGGTTAATTGGAGATAAGAGTCTCATGGACTTTCCTGCCTGGGCTGGCTTTGAAACGTAATCCTCAGATATCAGCCTCCTGAGTAGCTAGGATTATGGAGGTGAGCCACTGGCTCTCCCACGACTCTGTATCTTTATTTTTTTAAGCACTTATTCTTTAATTTTTTTATGGTTAAGTAGTTGTACAAAGGAATTGCTCGATAGGAAATGGACTCATTACCTTGCTCATGTAACTGTAACCACTCCGTACAGTATCTTTACAATAAAAAATATATTAAAAAATAAAGGAGTTTCCATTCAAAAGGAGTATATGGATGTAATGAGTCTTGACCACTGTGAGCCCTTTCATTATTCAAGTACAATGTCTCTTGATCCCCTTCCTGAAACAACTTTGGTAGATTTGATTACTTTACTTTCATATATGCAGATACTCCATATCCTCTTCTCTTGGTCTTCCCACCCCACAGTTAGCACTCAGCAACACAGCCCCAACACAGCCTGCCTTACTTTCCCGACATATTTTCTCCCCAGGATTTCATGTATAGTAACTGTACAAAGGGGCTTCAGCAGGGCCTTGATTTAGGCATCTATTACAAGTTAGTGTCAGATCTTCACACTCTTTCTGCATACCCACCCCCACCCCACCAGCTTTCAGTGAGTTTCCCTGGGCCATCTTCATACACAGACACCTTGTATTTCCTCATGATTCACCCTCATTCTCTATCCCCCTCCCCACACCCCAGCCTCACAGTGACAATCATACGCTCTCCATACGTATATGTAAGTTTGAATATGCCAGGGATAGGTGTATATTTTAGGCCTAGTTTCTACACATGAGCAAAAAACCATGCAGTGTTTGTTTTTTTGTGTGTACTTTTGTATATCTCACTTGACATAATCATTTCAGCTCTACCCACTTTCCTGCAAATGGCTGGGTAATATTCCACGGTAAATACATATCATATTTTCTGGCATAATATTCTATGGTATGTGTGTATTGCATCTTCTTTATCTAGTTACCTGTTGTCGGGCAATGATCTGGGCACTGAGGGTCTGCCATGCCTGTACCTCTTCCCTAGGGAAAGCCAGACGCTCACAGGAATGCTCAGCACGCAAGGCCACTCTTCCCCTGTAGACCAATCGAAGTGCAGAATCACTTCTGCCCTGGGAGTCAGAGGCTAAGGCAAGTTTGAATCTGGGGTCACCTGAGACCCTGGATGCCTCTGTCTCTGATTCAGAAATGCCTTGCTCCTTGAAGAACTTACCACCCAAAGTGCCATACAACCCCAATTTCACAGGCATGGGGTTCTCATTTGTGAGAGAGGGGGAGATGGAGAGCCGCACAAAGGAAGCCCAAGAACCAAGGCCCAGATGTCAGGGAGGTGGACGTAATGAACAGTCCATGTGAATCCAGTGTTCCAGTCCATGTGAATCCAGTGTTCCCTGTGATTGTTTGCTTGGAATCTGCATTATTTGTTGCGAGTTAGTGCCGATCTGCACCTCCAAATTTTGCTTCACACAGCAGCTGAAGGACAGACGAAGGAGACCCAGAGACTGCAACCCAGCACTGCATCCCAGATCTGCCAGTGCCTGCATCTGACCTTGAAGAGGTCACAGAACCTCTCTGGGCCTCATGTTCTTATTCTGGGAAATGGGGGTAGCAGCGGGAGCTGCTGGTTGGGCTGAGGAAGATAATGGAGAGGAGCTGACCAGTACTGACACATTTGATGTGTGCCTAGCAACAAGACTCAAGACTCTCCCACATTTATGCAGATGAGAATCAACCCACATATACCAACCCCAGTTTGGGTTACTTTATGCATTAGTGGCATGAATAAACAATTTCCCCCTTGGAATTATCCCTCTTCCTTTAAGAGAGTTTTGAAATTTAAATGTGAAAGTATCATATTCAAAGAAGCTTTGAGAGCTAGATCACTGAGATTTGGGAAATCTATAATTGATCTATTATGCAAAGATTATATACTAAGGCTTTTCTTTTTGATGACTCCATAGGAGGCTTATACCAGAAGTCGAATCATTTATTTCTGTGTGAAAAAAAAAATAAAATCTCTAGGCGAGGTTCGAGAAGGCCCAGCATCAAATGGAGTGTCAGAGATGGGACAGTTGTTGGAGCCAGGGACAGCCCCAGCCTGATGATCAAGACCCAAGCGTAAGGACTTAGAATTGAAGTTCAAGTTTGACTTTATAGGTAACAGAATTAACTTTCTTGGAGAACAGGTGGTCATGGGGCAGTGTCTGCAGTGAGACTGCGAGGTGGAATCCTATGATTTGTGGTATGTTGTGAACTTGAATAAGGACTTCATTTGTGTGTGTATCAGTACTGGGGCTTGAACTCAGGGCCTAGGCAATTTCCTTTAGCTTTATTGCTCAAGGCCGGTGCTCCATTTGAGCCACAGCTCCATTTCCAGCTTTTTGGTGTTTAATTGAAGATAAGAGTCTCACAGACTTTCCTACTCAGGCTGGCTTTGAATTGTCATCCTCAGTTCTCAGCTTCCTGAATAGCTAGGATTACAGGCATGAACCACCAATACCAGGCTTTCATTTAACTTCTTAAAAGGGTCTATGGAGGGGCTGGGAAGGTGGCTCAGTGGTAGAGCACTTGCCTTGCATGCTTGAGGCCCTGGGTTCGATTCCTCAGCACCACATAAGAAAAAAGCCAGAAGTGGCGCTGTGGCTCAAGTGGTAGAGTGCTAGCCTTGAGCTGAAGAGCTAAGGGACAGCGCCCAGGCCCAGAGTTCAGGCCCCATGACCGGACCCCAGAAAAAAAAGGGTCTAAAAGTGACCCCTAAAAGTGACAAATAATGTCTGGGATGTCACATCCCATCCATAGATAAGCTTTCTGTCCTGGGTGCTGAGGTAGAATGGAGGGCCTTCACGACTTGGGCTCCCTCTCAGCTGAGCACCCATGCTGCCTCCCCCTGGATAAGGATTTTCCTGCTCGCCAGTTTGCTGCCTCTGGCTGACAGTGAGAGTCCACTATGTACCTGGTCCCCCAAGGTGTAGCTTGGTTGATGTAAAGTCTGCATTCAGTCTTGCAGATCATGTTTCTAAACTCTGTGAGACTGGAGACAGAAAACCTTATAGTAGTAGGTTCACTCAGGACACAAAACACGTGCCACTCTTGGGGGGAGGGAGGAGCAGGGAGACCCTGAACAATCCATGTGGGGCCTTTTATCTCTGATGGGGGCCGCAAGGGGTACATTTCTCCTGCGTGCCGTTTAGCAGATGCCTGCCTTCCCTCTCTCTCTATTAGGGGCAGGGATGCTATTCACCCATATGGAGAGAACCAGGCTAGACCGCCACCAGCCCTCATTCAGTGATGCTGGTGATGAGAATGGTGCCATGCTGGGCTGACTATGTGAGCCCAGTGGGCTGTGTCCTGTCTCTGATCATAAAACAGACAAGTGCTCAACTTGCCTCTGTGTAAACCCCTGGAACTTAACACAGAGGTCCTGGCACCTGGCTTGGCTTTTCCAAACAGGAAAGCATCGATGTAGCCATACAGTAGGGCAGCAGGGCCCTAGCTTGCTTCTCTGAGCCTGTTCTCCCTGCCCCCTGCCCTCCCCTGCAGAGTTTGATGCTTTCCACACTCTCACAGCTTGGCTGGGAGGCAGTAATGGGATAATATATATGGACAGCCTGGCACAGAGACAGGGTCGATAGATGTTTGCTAATTATCTAAGTAAATGAAGTTCTTTGAAGCTAAAGATTTAGGAATTCAATAACCCAGACAGTGCTAGAAGCCTTTCTTTCACTGGCAAATTTATGAAGAAATAAGATTAAAAAAAATTCCATACAACCAGCAAGGAAACCTCTTTTTACTTTAAGATGCTTGGTAGCAGGGAAAGAATTTAGAGTTGGCATGATCTATACATTTGTCTATCAGAAGCAGGTGCTCCTTCCTCCAACTAGT